TGTAAGCCATAATCATCACAATTATGACAAATCACGGCTTGAACTATCTTGCTTTGCATGTAATGAGTCTATCTCATATATTTCACTTTTTAATTTGCATCACTGAAATAAATTAACTTTTGCACGATATTCTAATTTTTCGAGTTTCACCTGTACATTTGCCTAAACAAGAAAGCATATTGTGGCTTAATGTGATGGCTTACTATGACACTGCCTTGGTTCTTGCAAGATGCTGAAAAAACAAATTATTGAACTCAGGTGCACAACCTTCTTCTAGCTTCACTCTTCACAATCCTATGGATTGTTGCCATCCAGAATCAATCTTCCCACTTTGATTGCTATTTTATGTGAACTAAGCCTCTTTATGTGTTTTCAGCCTGTGTCTCTGTACTCCATTCTTCCCCTCTTTCATATCTTTATCACAAGATGCATTCTTTCTCTTAGAATTTGGACCCATTCTGATAAAAAGATGAGAAGTATTATTCACTAATAAAGCAGTAGCTGAGCTTGTTGAAAGTTGAAGAGAAGGAAAAAATACTCTTCCGTGGTTTGGTGGAAAATAGTGGAGCAGCTAATGAATGTGCCAGAGGAAGGGCTTCTGCAAGGTTGTGCTCCTGAGAGGAAATCAAAATTAATTAAATAGCACACTCTTACTTTTGGGCATCTAGCCAGCCTTATTATAACTATTGTCTGCTGAAGGACAAAGTGATCCTTTGCATATTGTTTTGCTCATTGAAGCAGAATTGGAGAAAATGCAACTATAGCTCCCAGCATTCCTCACCACAGCCATACTGGCTAGACCTACTGAAATCTGTAGTGCAACAAGACTTGGAGGATCATTGATTCTCTACCCCTGTAGTAAAGATATGTCCCTGCCTGTCCTACACTGCTTCATTTACTCTTGGTTCTCTCTGTGCCTTTCGTGTCTACACTTCTAGGGCTACCTGTTCATTTCAGTGCTGGTGAACTCCAACAGTGAGCTGATCCGCCTCATCAACAATGCTATCAAGAATGACCTGGCAAGTCGCAATCCCACCTTCATGTGCCTGGCCCTGCATTGCATCGCCAATGTTGGCAGCCGTGAGATGGCAGAGGCCTTTGCTTCTGAGATCCCCCGTATCCTGGTGGCTAGGTAAGGCAGAGTCAATGTAGGAAGGACTGACTATGTGGGTTAAGACAGGTAGTTTTCATTATGGTATTTAGGTGCATCAGAGGCTGATTTATAACAGAAGAGATTATTTTATTCACCTGCATGGCATTATTTATACCATTCTGACCCTGTCTTAGACCCTCCAGTTCCACTAAGGCTAGAACCACCAGAATTCCCTGCCAAAAGGAATGGTGAGAATTCTAATAATTATAGTTCGATATACCTAAAAAGCTTAAGTTTGGGGAGGAATTACCATATTTTTCGGAGTATAGGATGCACCTTTCCCACCCCAAAAAGAGGGTGAAAATCTGGGTGCATCTTATACACTGAATACAGCATTTTGGAGGTGCAGAGGGTTTGGGAAGCCTGCAAAGTGCTCCTGGGGGCTCATTTTTGCCTCCTCACCCAGCCCCCAGGTGCACTCTACAAGCCTCCTAAAGGCTATGCATGTCCTTTTTTTTCTTGCTTGTTTTTGGCGCACCCCGCCCCCAGGAGCACTTTGCAGGCCTCTCGAACTCTCTGCATGCCGCATTTTTCACAAAAAGTGAGGCATGCAGAGGGTTTGGGAAGTCTGCAGAGTGCAAAGACTTTTTTTTTAATTTACCTCTTTAAAATCTTGGTGCGTGTTATACTCCGGTGCATCTTATACTCCGAAAAATACAGTAGCAGTGTTCAGTAACCTTCTGGAGACAGTACACAATGTGTCTCAATGGAAGCTTCTGGGAATTGTGGTTCAGCAACATCTGAAGGGTCTCAATTGTTCATATTTCAAATTGGGGAACACTACAAAAGGCTTTCCAATACCTCAAGCAACAAAGTATTTTCTCCATTATCAGCTGACTGATCCTTTTATCTGGTAATATCAAAGATTAAACCTAAAACCTCCCATTAGCAAGACATTCTCATTCCTCCCCTAAGATGCCAACTATCTGACCCATTTTTTGGCTGTATTACACCTCAGTGATACCATGGACAGTGTGAAGCAGAGTGCTGCTCTCTGCCTCTTGCGCCTCTACAAGACTTCACCTGATTTGGTGCCCATGGGAGAATGGACATCACGTGTGGTGCACCTTCTGAATGACCAGCATATGGTATGTTATCCTCTTCTGAGTTCCATTGTTAGGACATGAAATCATTTGTCACCCTCAAAATAATTTGCATATGGTATGTCCTCCCCATTTGTTACCATAGAATAGAGACCCGTCAATATTTATTTCTTACTCCATTAAAACCA